CCATTATGGTTACCGCCAAAAAAAAAGAAGGGGGTAAAAAAAAAAACGGTAACCTGGTTGCCGAGTTCACGAAGTGAATTGGCTTGTTTTACAACGTCGTTGCCAAGCGACGAAAACCCAACCCCGATGGCAAACACCGAGGGGGACGGCTTGTTTTACAACGTCGTTGCCAAGCGACGAAAACCCAACCCCGATGGCAAACACCGAGGGGGACGGCTTGTTTTACAACGTCGTTGCCAAGCGACGAAAACCCAACCCCGATGGCAAACACCGAGGGGGACGGCTTGTTTTACAACGTCGTTGCCAAGCGACGAAAACCCAACCCCGATGGCAAACACCGAGGGGGTTGGCTTGTTTTACAACGTCGTTGCCAAGCGACGAAAACCCAACCCCGATGGCAAACACCGAGGGGGTTGGCTTGTTTTACAACGTCGTTGCCAAGCGACGAAAACCCAACCCCGATGGCAAACACCGAGGGGGGGATAAGGGGGGGGGGAAGCGTTCATTTTTCTTGCCTCGCTCAAGCGTCCACATCCCCATTGCTTCGAACTACGATGTAGCTCCTTTTGGGGAGGGACAAACGGTGCAAGCGTAGCGGTACTCAAGTGTCAGGCATGGAAGCAATCTTCGCATGATCAGCCGTCACATCCATGTGCAAACAAAGCACTCTGGGGTGGAACTTGTCGGCTTTTCACGGCCAGGCAATCGGCACACCAATGTGAACCGTCTCCACGTGCGATATTCGGAAGAGCACAACCTGGCCGGAAGGCGTGCGAGGGGATCTTCGATGCGTGGCCCCGCGAGAGGTGATGTTGGAATCGTCCGCTGAGAAGGGTAACGTGGACGTTGTGTCGGAAGCAGGGCGAGCTGAAAAGTACATAATGGCATAAGCCACGCCTCTGCCATTCACACTGTGTTGTGGTTCGGCTGTCGTGAAATCCAGGCTCATGATGTTGATTCATGTCACTTGCCATCCGGACCCCGAAGCTCGACAGGGCAACACTAGGACTAGGAAAGAGTTAAACAAACGCCGGAAGTCAATTCCTAACCCTCACCGGGGAAGGATACATCTGGTTCCTTCTTCCCATTCCTTCGACACTGTTCGACCTACCCCTGTGTCCAGCTTGAATATCTTGTCCAGTATGGAGTTCCAGATACAGTACGGGGTGTTGGCGTGTACGTTTCGACAAACCGTGATTATCGCTGGGGCCGCCGCCCTCCCTCCTCGGCCGCCTGTATTGAGGATGTAAGGGTTGGGTACGGCGATAGCATGGAATGCAACACATGTCTGTTGAGTGAGGCGAAAGGATGTGGCTGCACGTACGAAATATTCCAAAACGCAGTAGAGCAGCCGCAGTAGTACGTGCAGCAGTTGAACCAGCAGGAACAACTTCGACATAAGCCGTAGCAGCAGCACCACCACCAGCAGCACCAGCAGCACCAGCACCAGCAACAACAACAACAACAACAGCACCAACGACACCAACGACACCAACAGCACCAACGGCCGAAAAACACACACCATCGCTCTTCCGCGTGCTGCTGCCACTCCCGTCGAGGCCCCTTTCCTTAGTTTCCTCTTGTTCCGTCAACGGTTGAGAAATAGGGGCATTGTTCGTCCCATTCCTCCAGATGCGCTGTAGCTGGGCAGACCGCACGAGGCGTGTCTTTCCCGATCCCGACTACAAAGGTGGCGACAGTGAGAGAGGGGGGGGGGGGGCCTTGAAGGATTGACCTCGTACGGTTCCTTACATCGACTCCGCAGAGTGAACGGGCGGGGCGGGGGAGGTGGCCACTTCGTTGATCATGGGATCCCTTCCCACACGTCTCCCGTCTCCTAGTTACGAGAGTTGGAGGGAGATCGTGAACACTACAGACGGATTTGTTTCCAACCGCCCGTGCACCGTAAGTACGTATTCGTTGATCGTGTTTTTCTTTTGCGGGTGAGTGTGCTCGACCTACCTAATATTCAGCAAGAAGATGCAAACGAATTACTCCGAGTGCACGTGCCTGCGTGCTGTGAAGCCCCATCGCCATCCAATACAACTCACACTATGTCGTGAAACCCGGACCGTTTCCATCTCACATCAACACCACCACAACAACAACAACAGCTCGTGTCGGTGGAAACCCGACATGCTTTATCGCAGCTTTGGTAGCTGGGGCAAAATTCCAGCTAAGCCAAGGGACCAAACAACCGGTCGTTTCTTCAGTGCCATCTCCCAGCCCTGTTTTGACTCGCGTTACTGGCCAGCTTCCCCGTTGCGATCGTCTTCGCTCGCTCTTCTTTTGGACAGCGACGCAACGTCAATAGAAATTCCCTCGAAGAAAATGTCATTTTCTGTGTTTGCAATCTGTCTTTCGATTTTCTGTTCTTCTCATCTTTCCCTTTGCTGCTATATCTTTCCACCTTCGATTTCTTTTATTCTGTGCTGAGCGTTTTCTTTCCGTTTCCTGCGCACTAACCTGTCCGAGAAGAATGACGGGCCTCGTTATCCCCGCGTTCTGCAACCGCCTCACGGAGTTTTCCAGTACCTCCAGCTCCGCAGATACTCCAATCATCAGGTCGCTGTCTGTACCGCCGGCGTCGCTCACCCTCTGCTCCTCGCCGCGGTGACAGGTATCGATTTTTTCACAGGGGAGTTCGTACAAAGAAGCAAGCACAACAGCCGCCAGCACAGCAGCAGCAAAACTTATCGGTAAGCTGATAACTATATTTCCCAACGGAAAACTCACGCTGTTGGAAAAAACATGAAGATAGAAACGGTGCACCCACCACCCATACCTTCCCGGGTTAAGAATGGACGAGTTTTCAGGTAAGGTATGCATGCGTTTTCGTAGTTGAGTAACGTATTTGCCGAAAGGGGGCAACATAAGTTCTTAACGCGGAACGAGTAGCTGTGGCCTTCAAAGACCGTTCGAGGTGAGGCTGTAACTACGTTCCGTGACAACGCCGTGCACTGTCGTATCGTCGGTTAACAGGTGAACGAGCGCCGTGAGATCCGCAGATGTAGGAGAGTCCTTACGAACACAACCACGATTCGTGATAGACAATGACTACAAACTCTTGGGTCGAGTTCACGTGTTGTCCACCGATCCTGTTCCAGCGGGAGACCGGCCAACCGAACGTTACAGGACGTCAGCACGTACTCGTGCTAGCTCGTCCATTCAAGCCCCTAAGTTGATAAAGCCGATCGACGTTCTTACGTTCAGGCAGCCACCATGCGCGGGTGTGCTTTCTATCTCCTGGGTACCTTGCTGTTGTCGTCTTTGAGCGCCTGTTCGAGGGGCCGGAATACCGGGACCGGGTCGACGTAGCCCTTGGCCTTGATCGGGGTCAACGTCTCGAAGTCGAAGAAATTGTGCGCGCGTTTCCAGACCTCGAAATCCACCTGTGCGTTGTTGTTGTCGTTGTGTTCGTGGTTTCGCAAAGGGCCACCAAGACGACGTAACACGAGAAGCCGGGCTCTATTGTTGCCCTAGACAGCCATGGTCTTAACCTTATAGCAGAGCGAGCCCTGGGCTAGTGGTTCAGAGAAGGGAAAGCGAGGGAATATACATCACTGTATCACAGCAACAATGCACGGCTTGAACATTGAAAGCAGGGGATGAAATGAGCACGCGAAAATATCTCCACGTCGTGTCAGTGTGGTTATGGGGTCAAGTGCCGTGCCTGGATTGTGTTCTTCGGCGCGGAGGCCATGAGCCTCGCACTCAGGTTGACGCTGCAGCCCATCATAGCGTACTCGCAACGCTTCGACGCCCCCACGAACCCGCAGTACACCTGCCCCGTGGTAATGCCGATGCTGGCCCCCAGCTGCAGGCCTTCGAACGCCAAGATGATTTCCTTCGAGGCAGAGATTGCCCGGACCTCGTTGTCTTCGTAGCTTTCGCGGGATTACAAACGGGCGACGAGATTATCAATCACGGCAATAGTGTGGAGGATGATCGTCAGCCGGAGAGGAAAGAAACCACCACAAACGTGAGGATGTGAACCTGGGAAAATGAAGGGAGTGGTCTACGTTGGGGGCAAAGTGTAGGGACCAAGAAGAGTGTGAACACGTCGTTTGAGCCGAGCAGTGTTAGCGGACAGACAGGTTTGCTTTCGGAATAGGAGGTGATTGAGCGTAAGCTAAAGCCGAGACCTTTTCACTACACACGCCACAAGCCAACTACGGCACAATATGTACAATGCAATACAATACCACGGTGATGCGTCGGTGGCCATGGCGATAGTTCCAAGCTCCCCTACAACTATCAACGCGCAAACTTACGTCTCGGAACTGTTTGCCAACACGCGTACTTTGGTTAGTTCGTGTCAATGTCGGTGGTTGCAGAGAATCTAGCCGGGGACATTGGCTACAACCAAGCAAGGAGGTACGCCAAGACGTTATTTTGGCTGAATACAAATGAGAATGTGGGTTTGTTTACAACCGCGTTACCATACACCTGTACTGAGGCAAGCCGAACGCCCCGATCATGACGCAGCCCTTGTCGTCCACCACGAACTGCCGGAGGACGCCCCCGAACTTAAGCAGGCTGCTCACGCCGAGGTCCATCGTCTGCTGCAGGAGGAAGCCCCCGCCGCGCTTGAGCTGTTCCTCGAGCCCGTAGATGTTGATGAAGATCGTCGTGACGAAGCGGATCTCGGCAAGGTACTTGACGGTGTTGCTCTGGATGGCGTACCTCGCGCTCTCCTGGGTGAAGCCCCTGAGGGCGGTGCTCAGCCCCTTCATGGATTTCTCCACGCCCCCATCGTACTGCGCCTAATTAAGTTGAAGCATGTATGACCCCCAAGCATTGGTGATGGGTTGGGCTTGTGATGAGCTGGACGGGAAGGGAATGACTGGCATTCAAGTGCGTTGCTCGTCGACAACTTGAACGGAGATAACTGTCGTTGCTTACAAATTGGGGGTGAGGGGGGCTATGGGGATGGGGGAGGAGTTGGCGCCGAAGTGTCATAAACTTCTGGCGAGGGCGAGAGAGAAGTTGCCCCAAGAGTCCAATCTCAGCGTGCACGGCCGTCGTACTTGCATCTGCGCGGCGACGGCTCTGTTAGAAAAAAGTGTCTCGTTGCGTGGTTTGGAGGTGGCTTCGTTTCGAGTAAATCCCTCCAACTCGCTTTGTTTTCGGCCAAGGTGTGATTTCTGATCAAGTGTTGCAAGCAGGAAGCTATTTGGATGCACAGTATGGTACTGCGTACGCACAGAAAATGAAAAAAAAACTTTGACTGTGAACTGCATTGGATATGCACAAAATGGTAGGAATTGTCTCAGGGCTGAAATGGGCGGCGTTGGAACGCCTTTCCAATGGGTGTCCGCACCGCACACGAACCGTTCAGAGTGATGTGAGCGCGCTATGCTCGCACAGGGGACCAAGCTACAGTGTTCTTCGGAGCACCGATCAAGAAAGCGTGTATTGATGCAGCTCATTTGTACGACAATTTGTTCGCTCAGCACGGGGTTAAAGAGGCCAGTGGTTATTGCGAAAGCTCCGACGAATAGCAAGAGAGACGGCGTTCCAGACGTAACTCCTTCCATGTGACCGGCAAGTGCGAGCGATTTCGCTGACCTTGGGGATCAGGAAACCCGGTCTCATTGGCGAGATTTTTGCTACTGCCGTTGTGGAGGGCATTCAAAGCCGTAGGCTGTACCAGATAGTTTTACCTCGATGTAGGGAGCCAGGTAGTCGCTGGCCTGCAAGCGGTGCTCCTCGGAAACCGCGGAGGATTGGTTGACGTTCATGGTGACCGTTTTCGGAGTTGCGGGAGTGCCACAAGAGGGGCTGGCAATGGATGCCTTCTTGGCGGATTGGTTGGTGGGGTGGCCAACAGACTTGGTTGACTCGTCCTCTTCGGTGTGCTGCAAGCACGATGGATATCGAGGGAGAAATGATCGCACGCACGGGCGGACAAAACGAGCACAAGTCGGGGCGTCGTGAGACGCACTCGTTATCTTCTTCTACGTAGAGCAAGAATGATAGCGTGGGGGTGATTGTTCTGCACACGCAGCGTCGAGGCAAGAAGTAAAGCTCAAGGTGGGGAACGAGTGAGGGATAATAACCATGTAGGCCAACCTTTGTTCGGTGATCTGAGCCAACTACTATGGATCAGGCGTGGCCTACACTACTAGCGCGTGCGAGGTAGTCTCAATATATCCCAACGTACATGTAACTGCACGTAGCGTGCCGCATCCACGCCAAAACAGTATCCGAACCGACCAAAGCTGCGACCGAAAACAAGGAAAGTCGGTGGGTCTAGCTTGGCACCATACGACAAGTCTTGGCGAAGAAAACCACGTTGGAGAAGCTCTTATTGCAGCGTGAAACCACCGGAAACTATTTGTGTGAGCACAAAGCGAAAACAACACGTGCAGGCATTCTGCACGCCCCACTTTCTACGAGGACACAGCACTTGTACGACCGAGCGAGACGATAAGTTGTGGCCACAAAAGGCTAGCGAAGAAAAGGGTGGAAAGGAGTACACTTTTGTCACGAGCGGCAGAGACGCAAAAGATCGCCCAAATGTCGGCGGTGTCTCCTGTAGGAGGTAGAACGTGATCGTGCTCACTCTTGGAAGGGATTCACGGAGCAAAGTCCGACCATGTCGGCGAGCAACGTAATGGCCGAGCGTTCCCATCGCTAATCGCAGAATGATGTGGTATCTTCCTACCACTCCGAGAGCCCCCACTTGTGCTGCTAACCCTGTGCGGGTTCTCGAGGGACACTCACCGTTGATGCCCTATCCCTCCGAAAGACCGCAAGGCTGTTGCTCTCTTTCCTGTTTTTCTTCCCGTTGTGACGCGGTCTCCCACTACTGCCACCGACAGGGGTACCACCCCCCCCCCTCGCCGATATCCCGCCGCCCACACCGCCCCCTCCGGCAATGAGGTCACCGACGACGGCCTCGCCCGGCCTGGGAAAAGCAGGGCCACCGTTGTTGGTCCTCTCACCGCTGCCGCTACCAGCGTTTCCTTGAGTCGGGGCTGGAGAGAGCGCAACCGAGACAAAACATGGATGCGCATTAGATCATGATAGAAGCAGATAGGCTGGAAAATATTATCACGCAGTAGCCTGCGCGCAATACTCAGTGAACGGGATCGGCGAGAAACACAAAGAACGATAAGGCAGTTTTTTTTTGGGACCCACGCGGGGAGGACAACTTCTGCCTAGGAAATAGTGCGGATGGTGAACGGGTACGAGCATACAGGCAGGTGAAGCACCAGTTGAATCGAAAAAAAACGATAATTATTCCGTTCACTCCTTCAACATATTTCGCCCTGCACCGGAGTAGCTTCGCTGCATATGTTCCCGACCTGAGTCACGAAAGAACGATAAAGTAGCCTGTGGGGTCTGCCGAAGCTAGGGCATGGCGAACGTCTCGCACATGTTCGAAAATGGAACAAGCGAGTGGAAACCATGGAGACACGACATTTTCACATTCAGCGTATGGCACACGAAATACACTGACAAGTGTAGTACTCTACATGCGCTGAAAAGTGTAGTACACGTCTCACCACGAAAAATGGGGGGACTGTCGCCATAATAAATAGGACGAAAACACACACACAACAGTGTTTTGTGTTTTCAGCCGCACTGAGACTGACGTCTTTTCATTGGTCAGCCGGTTAGCTCGGTCGATGCTAATAATAATAAAAAAAACACACACACACAACAACACACAACAACACACAACAACAACACACGATAACATGTGTAGACACGTGAACCCAGACCAAGCGTGCGTGTGACGATAGGTTGGCCTTTCTCGCTCAACCCAAAGGCGGCGGGTCGAGAGCAATATAAGTCAAACCCGAACGAAGAAGACACGAATGATCCAAAAGTCACTCGGATGGGCTTGTTCATCCGGCAAACGAACTCACATCCTCCTCGAAACCGTTTTGGAGCCCTTCCCGCGCCCGCCCCGGCCAGGCCACCACCGCCGCCTGCGTCACCACCACCGCCTCCGGCTGCGGCTGCGGCTACTCCTCCGTCAGGGGTCGAATTGCTCGAGGGAAAATAGGGAATCTCGGCAGCCGACGCGCGTTGTCGCCGGTTTTTGTCTCCGGCCGCCTCCCTGGTAGGGGAAGAAGGCCTTGACACGTCTTTCAGCTCCTTCAGCAGCCAATTCCCCTGAGTTACGTACCGGTTGAGCGAGATGTGCGGCCAGAGATGAGGCGAATGAAAGGCGAGCAAGAACAAGGAAGCGCGAGAGGCGAGGGCAGAGATCGGCAGCCGAGAAGAGAAGAACAGAACAAGGAAGGGAGGGACAGAAAGAGAAGCACATATGGGCGCACTGAACTGGAACTCCATGCCTGTATATGTGATCTAGGTCAGGTAAGCAAAGGCTTTATTCACTTCCTGAGTTTTTTTCTACCGGGAGAAATATTGCACTGGTGCCGTGTGGAAACGTGCTTCTCTTTCGTCCCTAGTCTCAACCCCCTTCTCTCCTAACCCATATCGCCCTGAGAGAGCGTCAGAGTTTGGAGCCAAGGACAGGCGTGTGTCTCTGTTGTTGATACATAAAGCAGCTGGCTGTGTCCGTCGATTCCACCAACGCAAAGAGCACCCCATTCAAGCCGAAAAGGTGGACAATGAGCAGCTACTTACGGCTTTCGCCAAACAGACAGGCGTACTGCCCGTGTGGGTGGGGGAACAAGCACCGCGAGGTGTGCTGCGGCGGAACTGCATCATCAGCATGTATTATTTGCGTTGACGTCTGCAAGCACGCTCAAGGGGAGGGACACATGTATCATTTCACCCTCATTGGTTGCCGTTCCAGAGATCTTCTTGTCAGTTTCGACAAACCTGAGGCGTCTTCGTCGCCACAAAGTCGGTGGACGCCAGCTCCCACGCCTCCGGGGACAGGATGACCTCGCCCTGCGTTGCCTCAGGCTCAGCCTCGCCAATCTGTCGGAGGGGGTCTCCTGCCACCAAGTATTCCCACCTGTCGTCTGCGCCCACAAGGTAGCCGTACATCTGGCCACTGCGAGAAGCGGTTCAAGAAACCAGAGTGGAGGGAAAACCAGAGTTGAGGAGCATCTTGCAAAAACACGTGGAACATTTTGTTTCAGTGAGAGGGAAAGAGTGGAAGAAGAGCAATTCCTCGGACAAGAACCAAGAAAAAACGCACCGGGAAGGAAAAGGAAACCAATTTAAATCGGAGGATGAATACAGTTAGCGCCCGCAATTGAGAAATATTTTTGTAAGAAACAGAGGCTCATTTTTCCACGAAAAATAAGAAAATAGGGTTCAGAAACATGGCTCACGCTGGGTCACACAATGAGAAATGTCTCAATAAGAAACAGCGGCGACCGCTGCCCTACGACATAAGAAACGAGGGGTAACGGGGAGAGTGTGTCGAATAAGAAACACCCCATAGCTCCTCCTATCTCTCTCTCTTTCCCCCTCTTCCACTACCCCCCCTCCCAAGTGCATTATTAGTTGTACAACGAGGGGGGAGTGTGTTTTTTTGCGGCACCCCCTCCGGCACCCTGCCGACTCTGGCGCTCTCTGGCGCTCCGGCTCTGGTACAGCACACCAGACAGGCTGCGAACCATATGCTGTCTGGTGTACGGTTTTGATGGTGCTCTCCGCCAGCTCTCGTGAGCAGAGAAAATAAGAAATTGCCGATTGAAGAATTCAGCAGGATTTGGCGGCACGAAAATAAGAAACTTGACATACGAAATTGAACGACATACGCTGAGGTTATAGCCCACAATAAGTATTCGAGGCTGGACCTGAAATAAGCGTTTCTTATTTGCGGGCGCTAACTGTAACTATGTTTAGCCCGGGTCGTTGTGTACTCCACCGCCGCTGAAAGTGCTAAACAGTGGTTGGCATGATTCACGACCCCTCGTACCCACTGCGTGCTGGGTTGAATTCCCGGTGCGTTAGCTTTTTCTACTTGTTTCAGTGTGTATTGTGTGCACAACATGGCATGTACGTGTTTCAAGGTGGGAAAACAAAGTCGATATTTGAAAATGTCGAACGATAAGGCCAAAGCATACCGTTGCCTTGGGTTTCCTGGTGTGTAGACGCTGTGTCTACACGTAGGGTAGATCTCTAGAAGCGCAGAGATAGAAAAATGCAAAACGTTCAGAGAGAGAGAGAGAGAGAGAGAGAGAAGGAGAGAGAGAGAGATAGATAGAGAGGTTTCGAACAAATCCTTTAACATTTTGTTTTTGTTTGTTTTCTCACCTCCCCATCCCGCAGTGCAGACGGAGTGCCACGGCCTCTTCCCCCTTGCCCACGTCGTACTCCCCACACTCGCTGAGCATCGTCAGGGCACACGCAGCCCCTTGCATCGCGTTCGCCTGAATGAATTTTTGTTTTTTACGACGGCGTTTTTGATGCTTGGTGGGTGTTCTTGTCCGTGTTTCTCCTTCTTCTTGCTCAATTTGCGCTTGTACATGCGAGTTTGCGTGTTCGTTAGGGGCTTTCGACTTTCGTCATGTCCGTACCCCATGGCTGGAGAACAGGGTGTGGGTGCGGACTACTGTCAGGGTTGGCATGGGATTGGTGAAAGAGAAGCTTCACTTCCCCATTTTTTTAGGCAACGCATGCTACGGACAACTGTGTCCAGTATTGTTGCTCTCCACATTTATCGGTTTTTTTCAGGTGGAAACGTACACAATTATACGGTATCTGCACGCAATGCATGGCAATTATCGTTTGGCGTCGGGTCGAAACGTAAACGGTCATTTCATTTAAAAGTGTGTGCTTCGCTTTGTATCATACTTATCCCACTGAGAACTCTTCCTCGGCAAGGCAAAGTTTGTAACCCTAACCACCGCCCTACATTCAACCGAGCCAACGTCGAGATCCCATTGTTCTACCCCAAACCCTTCCCTATTGTTCTACCTCAAACCCTTCGATCTAAAACATGGAGAGCCGCAAAATACCAGAATCACCTGAAGCACCCCTCTCGGGGCGGTGTGTCCCGAGGGCCAGACGATCATTACGGCGTCTCCGCAAAACTTGATGATGTCGCCGCCATACCGCGCGACGACGTCGATCAGCATGGTGAAGTACTGGTTCGTGTGCGTCTTGAGCTGTTCCGCGTTCAGCCGCGCGCTCAGCCGCGTGAAGCCCGAGATGTCCGCAAACAGCAGAGTCGTCGAGAACCTTTGGGCGTTTGGGATTGGGGCTTGAATTAGGACACAGGTTACAGCGCGAAGCGCAGAGTCTACGAATAATTTCTAGAGTTGCCGTTCAGGTGAAGAAAGTACCCACCCATCCACTTCCGCACATCCAATCACCCAACCCACCTCTCGCACGTGAACTCCTGTTTGTTGGAACCATGGTTGAGTAGCTTCTGCCGAAGCATGCGGTGTACGATGGCCGGGGAGAAGCGTGCCCACTGGCTGCACAGCGCCTCGTACTGCGCCTCCGAATTTGCGGTGTCTCTGGTTACCTATGATAAGGAGGGGTTGCACACGCGTTCATTTTGGAAATATCGAATCTGTCTCATCGTGACACGGCAAGCAGGAGTCCTTCCCTAGCAATTACAATCATGCGCGCCACTCATAACAGCATGTGCTCAAGCTGTAACAACAGCATGTGCTCAAGCTGTAACTATAGCTACATTCCCCGAGCTGTAGCGGATGCAGCGCACAACATGTTTGACAAAGCTCTCGCGGAGATTTTCCAGAGAAGCGCACAGCCTCCCCGATTTCGGCGTCTCTCCAGCCACCCTTCATCCCATTCTTTCTCCACGTTGTCACACTCGATGAAGAAAACGAACAAGTGTCCCCCTTCCCGAAGCTGCCCTAGGGTTTCCATACCTCGGGAGCGTAGAAAGACATCGTGGGGATGATGTTCTGTCCTCCCCCGGTCACGTTCCTCCGCAGGCCTCGCTTCACCTCTGCCGCGCTCAGCTGTTTGGCGCGGAGACGGTTGAGCCCACCCACTCGGAATATGCCTGTTGGGTTTGATCAATGGCCGCGGCCGGCAGAAAAAATGCCAGGGTAAGCCCATTCGAGCGTGTGCCGAGGAAGGGGAAGGAGGAAGAATGAATAACGGATCTCAGAAAAATGGTACCACGCAAACCCGCGAGATGTTTTCCATTGTCCCCACTATCTTGGCCTGATATTCTTGGTGTATGGTATGTTCATTTGACGAAGGCTTTCCGAGGCCGTCAGAGGAAATCGAACAGTCTTGTTCGTCTTCCCGTCGTGTCGTCCCTGAATTCCTTGCACGTTGTCGTGACGAGCAAAGCAAGGTGTCAGGACCCTAGCAAGCATCGGCATTCGCCTTATGTTCCAACTAGGCGAAATGCTTGTCGTCGTTGGTCTGGTAGGGCCGTACGTCTCTCCCCCAGTGCACCACTGTATTACTCTCACTGAAAAATTGAAAACTCACATCTTTCTACCCTCTTGCGCATGGTGTCTACCCTAGCATGTGGTTCGCCGACCTTCAAGCAACAACGAAAGTATGTCCGGTCCGTGCCCGTCCTTCCTACCGTTTCCCGACTCTCCAGCTATGTCCACCTGGTACAGTTCCCGGCCGCTTTGCCGAGGTGTCTCCTATCTTTGAATTTGAAGAAGCGAGACTCCACCTTCTCTGTCTCTCTACCCCCCGACCCCCCACGGTGTACGATGCCAAGTATCACCTACCTCACTTTGAGACGTCGTGTGATGCATGCGTTTTCGACCACGGAAAGGTTATTTGGATTGGACGATATCCCATTTGTACGATTCTAATGACGTTTCTAATGGAGTCAAGGGACAAGGGTCAACACCGTTGTTAAGAATCGCCCAGGACGAAAGTGGCACTATGCAGGCGTCACATATGTGCATCTGTGGCGTCCCCCGACTCTCACCAAGGGCCATGAACACCGCCCGTAGCACGCGCCAATTCTTTTGTGCTCGCTCTTCGTTGTGTTCCACCAACTCGTCCTCGGACAGATCGTCATAGTTGCCCGTCTTGACGGAGCGGGCCGTGTACCGCATGCTCCAGCGGCTGTTATTCCTGCCGCTAGATTTGTCGTTGGTCTGCGCAACGTTCTCGCCAGCCGACCCCTTATGGCTAACCCTAAGGCCCGCTCTTTGGAGGAAGCTAGGGATTGACTTCATTCGGAAGGTGATGCTGTTGCCAAGATTGGAAGAATCTTGGGCGGGGGATTTGACTCTAATTGAGCGCCCCCCCGCCCCTATCGTCCTCCCCCGGTGTTGTGTGGACTCGTCAGTGGATGCGAAGCCCGCGTCATCGGCGCTCGCCACCGGCGAAACGGCCAGAGCAAGAGGTGCAGCAGGCGTTGTTGCGGGGTCGGCTTGGTCGTCGACGCAGACATCGTCGCCGTCGGCATCGTTGTCATCTTCTTCGTCATGGTCGTCGTTGCTTAGGCTGGTCTCTCTTTTTGCCTCGCCCTTATGCGCCTCACTCATCAAGTCGCTACTACCACCGCCGCCACCCTGGGAAGGGCTACTTGCTGGTGCTGGTGCTGATGCTGGTGCTATAGTAGAAACTTCGGACGGTGACATATTGTGTTCGTTGCTGTCATTGCTATCGACGCTCCCGCTAGGGTAAACGCCACTGCTATCTCCACCACCCATGCCACCGCCGTATGAGCTTAGGTTGACCCTGGACTGTTTGCCCCTAGGCTCGAGCGCTTGTAGAACAACCCGGCGGGTTGGACGCGTCGACGTTGGGGTGGGAGACGCCAATGCTATCGCAGCGTTCAACCGGCTGCTGGGCTCAGAATGTATGCTGACGACTTCAGCATCGTTGAGTACCAGCGCCCTCGGCACCACCTTATGAGCTTGGGGATCGGGGTCGACATCATCACGGCTGTGCCATGATGACGTTGCAGGTGATAGCGCCGACGAGGGCTGGGTGTGAGGGGAATGGTCGTCGCTGGCGGGCGGGGAGGAGACTGGTAATGTCGGTGCAGAGGCAACAATGTTCATTTCCACCCAAAAGCAAGGCGCTGTTGGAATGATGAAGCTGGTGGTACTGGCGGCGGTGACGGTGCCGTCACACTGGAAGTTGGTTCACGTACAGTAGCTGCGTCTTCCTGCCAAGACCATGGCATCGAAAATAGAGAGGCGATGTGAGCTACGGTGTTAGGCGATCAGCTCAGGTCGCTGAATGATTAAGGTTGCCAGAGGAAGGCTGTTTTATTGGTGGTGGCGCAACCCTCTCGACAAGGATATGCATCAGAGTAAGGCGGATACGCGTCACCTGGATCGCTCTCAGCTGGTTCCTTTTACACTGCCCATGGGCAACCAATGGGTGATTGTACCAAGCAAGCCCGACAAGCACCGTCTCCGAATCCCAACACTAGGTACTGTTTATATATGTTTCCTACTTGACGTCATGATGTGTAAGAAGCAAGTCTCATCCCGTCATCCGGACGACACACGTTCCGCGTTCTAGGAATCATTGTCGTCGGTATCTATCTCCTCGCACATTACACTACTGCTGCTGCAAGATTATCCATGAAATGTCCCCCGGCGGCACGTACAGCCCAAACACTCTACGATGTACAACGTCGCGTCTCGGCACACGTAAGTGGTCCGTGGCGACATGGCAGTGCGTCTCTCTGGGTTCTGGAGGAGCGGTGTGGGTCACCGTGTTTCTGCGAGCGGTGCTCATTATGGAAAATCACTTTTGGGGTTGCTGTACACCCCACTTTTGGCTAGCTTGTGACCACTACAAAACTTGTTGGTCTGGACGAAGGTCGGCACGTTGACTGTAACAACAAAAACGTCCGGACAGGCACAACAGGTACATATTTACTACTCGGCCAGGCTTCTCTAGAACCACAGCAGTTCGATGGGTGTTGGTGTTGCGGAACTATATCAAAGCTCTTTCCGGGATATGACCATCACGAAGAGGCATTGCTCCCCAAGAATCAAGAACACATTGGCGACAAACATACAGACTCCTCGTTACCGTATGCGGGTGATCATTTTTTTTTCCAACGGACGATGTATGGACACGTACAAAGTCTAGTCTCCATAGTCGACACCTTGTGCCCACGTTCGACTGCGGTGCAAGCATACCGTAAGTGCTCCTAGAGCATTCGTTAGGACTGCAGGATCCAGAGAGAGGTTGTTGACTTACTCGATTTGCTCTTTGCATACATGACACCAATGAAAATAGGTGGTACGGTATGCGATATGTGTGATGCGGGCCAGGTGGAATACTGCTGTAGACTATCTGTGGTCGCGCGCACTAGCCCATAATCGACAGTAAATAGCACCCGTCTCCCCTCGGTGTTGAAAGAGCTTTGTCATCTCACGCAAGTCACCAATCTCACCTCATGGGAATGCAAGATAGTACTACTGTACAGCCGCTGTGTCATCGACGGCGCATTGCTGTCCCCGGAAAATGTGCTCGGTACTCAAGCGCGCCCGGCTGTGCGGCTACTCAGGGGCACACATAAATCCCAACACTCAGACTTTCGAGCGTTCCCCTACACCACGCACGAAATGAATCAAAATCCACAAGTTCATCTCTCGCGATGGAAGATTGGATTCCCCCGCTTCCTCCTCCTCCTTCTCCTCCCCTATTATCTTGCTCCCTGCCGTGCGAGAGAAGACACGAAGATACGTGCGAAAAATAGCGAAACCCCCGCTCAAGCGTAACTTGTTGCACCGCATCACCTCATCTCACCTGGCGCTGATTACGCCGCATCCCTTCCCCACGGGAGTAACACCGTTTTACCCTGGTGGGGAAACTACTGTGTGTAGGCGCATAATTAACGCGGTTTGGAGAACATTCTACTTGTGGTCTAGGTAGTGGACGGGAAGAAGAAGGACAGGATTTCCCCGTCAAGCGGTAAACTTTCCCGCCTGCTGCCATGGCATTCCGGTGTCTGCTGGCCCGTGGCCGCCATATATCTACCTCGTTCCTCTGCTGGAGACATAGCACTCGACAACATAACACCGCATCAGCAGCAGCAGCACAGCCGTCTGTCCTTCGCTCTAGCACATCAGTTTCAGCAATTCCAGGGGGCATACTGCTATTCACTGCGATGGTTGTGAGCTGGGAAAGAGAGTCTGGGGAGGTGCAGTGCGATTCGGCAACAGACGAGGAAGGTATGTGACAGTGTACAGCAGGCTTGGGCGTGTGAGGGGTGCGCGAGAACTGGCATAGGCGATGCCGCTGCCTGTTGGCTGTTCCTGTTGATTAACACTCCGTATTTATAGAACAACGGCCGCGCCCTCTGCTATTTGGAATTGGAACAGCCGATCACAGCAGATAACGAACGAACACGTGTTCCAGCATTTTCTTCACCTCTCCCGGTGCTCCTGCGCGTCTGCATCCCCCTCCGATGCAATCCGATGCGGTATTTTGTAGATTCCCCAACGGTGGTGGATTGGTGTCTAACAATACCCAGCTGCATCTCGGCCTACAGAGCACCAACTGATGTAGGACATGCACAACTACTTTTTTGCTGTGTTTTGGGGCTATCGTGGCACCCATCGCACAGCCGAACGGTTCAGGTTTGGTGCAGCCATGGCTGATAAGGGAAATTTATCAGCTGCCCCGACCTGCCCCACCTGTGGGGTACATAGCCTTGAATACCCCACCAGCTGCATGTAGCTCTTCAAGGCTCCAATCGACACACAAGACGGTAGGAGTGTTTGGTACATGAATGCGCAGCACACAGCAGCGGACAGGAGGTGGGGCGGCGAGTACGTCAAGAATTCCCGCCACACAGCTCCGAACATGTCCAGTGGGAGCGGATTGCTGCCTTCTCTTTTCTTGCAGGCAGACTTGCTTCAGCTACACGGGACTCCCACTGCTGTATCTCGCCCTGTGCATATTAGATTCCAATCGACACGCAAGACTGGTAGGAGTGTGTGGAACATGCACTCATCGCACACAGCAGCGGACAGCGGGTGAAGTGGAGAGCATGTTAAGTATTCCCGCCACACAGCTCAAAGCACGTCCAGTGGGAACCGAACACCTTCTCACTGGCGGGTTGCACAGCCTTGCTTGCCCCCGCAGTTGTATCTCGTTATGCAAGACTTCATTAGACACAGGACACGCAAAGCTGTGCTGCCGTGTGCTATGTGTTGTGCGTGCATCAACTACACACTTCTGCGACGGCGCTTGTGTGCCATTGGAGCCTTGTGCATAAGCGGCAGGTCTACAATGTGTGGTGGTGGAGGTTTTCGATACAAATTCCCACCGGTTGGGCACATCCGTGCTTCACCCCGCCAGCCGTGGCAGCACCTAAACGGAACCCTGTGGGCTCAACGATGGGTCATACGATACCCTACACTGCAGCAACGTCGTTGGGCATATCCTGTGTCGACTGAAGTCTTTGTATGATGAGATGCAGCTGGTGATGTAAGCAAGACTATGTACCCCACCAGTGCAGTGTGTGTGTTCGGCACAGCAGTGGGATCGTCTAGCTGAAGCAAGTCTGCCTGCACAAAAAGAGAAGGCAGTGTTCTACTCCCACTGGACGTGCTTTGAGCTGTGTGGCGGGAATACTTAACGTGCTCGCCACCTCACCCGCTGTCCGCTGCTGTGTGCGATGAGTGCATGTTCCACACACTCCTGCCGGTCTTGTGTGTCGATTGGAGTCTTGTAGGGCGAGATACAGCAGTGTGATTCTCGTGTAGCTGAAGCAAGTCTGCCTGCAAGAAAAGAGAAGGCAGTGTTCCGCTCCCACTGGACATGTTCGGAGCTGTGTGGCGGGAATACTTGACGTGCTCGCCGCCCCACCTCCTGTCCGCTGCTGTGTGCTGCGCATTCATGTGCCAAACACTCCTACCATCTCTTGTGTGTCGATTGGAGCCTTGTAGAGCTACATGCAGCTGGTGGGGTATTCAAGGCTATGTACCCAAGCGGTGGCCCACGTGCGTGCCACTCGACGACATCCCATCTCTACTTGAGGTTGAGGAAGCGGTACGGGAAATGGCCAACAGAAAGGCCGTCGGGCCGGACGACCTACCGGCTGAGCTGATCAAGCTTTTCCTGGACGGAGATCAAGGTCTCCTCCGCGAATTCCACGCCATTGTCGTGGACGTGTGGCAGACTGGGGACGTACCACAGCAGTGGAAGGATGCCACCATCAAAGTGCTGTTCAAGAAGGGGGACACGATGGAGTGCGGCAACTACCGGGGCATCTCTCTCGTCGCACACGCCGGCAAGGTGCTGCTTAAGGTCGTCGCTACACGACTGAGCCACTACTGCGAGCGAGAGGGCATCCTCCCGGAGGAACAGAGCGGTTTCCGCCCACACCGGTCGACGCTCGACATGCTGTTCGCCATCCAGCGGCTCCATGAGCTCGCGAGGAAGAAGAGTACTGCGGTGTTCGCGTGCTTCGTCGACCTCACCAAGGCATACGATTCGGTGGACCGAGACCTACTGTGGGACGTGCTCCGACGCTTCGGCGTGCCCCCGAAGATGCTGGCGGTCATTCGCCACTTCCACGAGGGCATGAGGGCGCGCGTCCGAACGGACGACGGGCAGTACTCGGAATGGTTCGACGTGGGCCAAGGCCTCCGACAGGGATGCAACCTGGCCCCGCTGCTGTTCAACTTGTTCTTTGCCGCGATGCTCATGGTCGCCGTGGCCGAGTTCGACAAGGACCCCAAGGTGACGGCGGACATGGTCAACATCGTTACACAAGTAGAGTACACGGGCAAGAAGGGCAGGTCGGCGGGGAATCAGACGACGGTGGTGACGGACGCGGAGGCCTTGTGGGCCATGCTCTACGCTGACGACGCGGCCATCGTCTCGCGCTCGCCGGAGAGTCTCGATGATGTCGGTCATCGTGCGCGTGGCCGGCCTGTTCGGGCTGATGGTATCGGAGCCAAAGACGGAGATCATGTGCATGCTGCCGAAAGGGATCGAGGAACGCCCGTTCGTGGAAGCGAGTATGGCGGCCGAGGCAGCACTTGTAGCAAACTATGTACCCGGCTGATGCTGTTGCGCCCTGTTTCCCTCCCTGCTGTATACTATACTCCTTTGTGTATGTCCTATGTATTGCCTTCGGCCTCTGTGCTGTGTTTCTTTTTTTCATGTCCTCCCTGCCTACTCTGCTGTGTTGGGTACCGTGATCTCGCTTTGCTGTTGTTTTTGTTTTTGTACGTCCGGCTGTCTGCCCATCTGCCGCCTCCTTGTCCTGTTTTCTCCGTTACTCCCATGCCCTGGTGCGTAGTGCCTGGTGCTGGTACGTTACCCTTTGATTTTTCTTTGGGCGAGTGTGGGAAGCGTCCTCCTTTATTATTATTATTTTTTTTTTAAATCGGTTTCCGAGGGCTCTTTTCTCGAACGGTCGGTGCGATACCTGTTATTTTCTTTCTATCGTTTTGTTGTCCTTTTCCAAGTGGTTTGTACCCTATTTTTGTTTTGTTTTCCCGCGGCGTCGTATGTGCCGGGTTTTGAGACCACGGGCTCCCCATTTTTTGTGGACTATAGAGCTAATGTGAGAAACAACAACAACAACAACAAACCCCACCGGTGGGGCAGGTTGGGGCAGCTGATAAATTTCCCCCATCAGCCATGGCTGCACCAAACCTGAACCGTTCGGCTGTACGATGGGTCCCACGATAGCCCCAAAACACAGCAACACAGTTTTGCATATCCTACATCAGTTGGTGCCCTGTAGACCGAGATGCAGCTGGGTATTGTTAGACACCAATCCACCACCGGTGGGGAAACTACAAATACCCCATCGGTGGGGGATGTAGACACGCGTGTTCGAGTACATCATCACCCTGCTTCATGTATACGGCCGAGACCCAATCAGACATGAACCTGTGGGTTCATTCACCACCATCCTCACGGGTGACTCGCGCGTGAGTCCGTAGAGTTGCCCGTGTTCCGTAAAAAACGGCGGAAAGCCCCCACACACGCTAACCCCCGCCCGCGCTCCCGAAAATTTTGCTTGTCAGTCATGGTGGCGGCGGCGTCAATGTCCTCGGAGAAGAGAGAGCTGAGGCGCGTGGCACTGGCGCATCTGGCCAAGTCCGTCCGTACGAGGGCGGTGAGCAAACTGGCCGTTGTGCGAAGTCACGCCGGCTGAACGAAAGAAACAAAGAAAGGACTCTACTTCTGGACAGCAGACTACGGAAGACTGCTGTGGGTGGACTTCTATTCGTACTCCCGACGTGGGTGTTTGCAGCTGCAAACGCCTCAATTAAAAAGTAAAACATGCAGTAACTAAGCCAGTAATCTGTCAAACGACACTGCGCCGCGTTCCCTGTGAAGGTCGCATTTAATAACACACGACATAACTGAGGGCTTTCTCCCTGATACTTTTTTCGTTGAACCAGTAGAGAACTACTTGGGATGCGTGGTAAATGTATCTACACCTACGTGCAGATATTCTGTAATGCGCACCAGCTGGTATCACTGGTATACCGTAGATGACACAAGATAACACATCCCAGTGGTAACATTTTTGGGGTTTAAAATATTATCACCGGGTGTGGTATCCTGTGAGGTGTGTGGTATCTTGTGTACCCCGGGTGATAAAGTGCAGCTCGCAGGGGCCCCGAAGGGGGTGTGATAAACCGGGGGGGGTGATAGCACGCCCGAACACCCACAGGGTGTTTTTGAGGGTGTGGTAATGAGGGGGTGTCCACCAACACCAGCTGAGCGGCTTTGGTGGTGCGTGTTGACTCGTCTGGGGTACTCGTACGTGCTGCTGAGAGCGAGTCAGCAGCTGGCTGCTGGTGAGGCGAGGCGGTGGGTGTCATGTTGGTGCCTGCTGCTGTGCCAGCTGCTGCTGTTGTTAGACCAACAGCAGCAGCAGGAGGAGGAGCCGTAGCAGGAGCCGCTTGCGTAAAAGTATTTTGCTCGGGTTGAAAGTACAAGATGATCTGTTGCGCCTGTGCTGCGGTCGAAGCAGTTGTGGAAGAAGCGGAGGTACTTGCAGCGCGGCAGTCTGCTCTTCCTCCTGCACGTTCATGTTGTTAAATGTCTCAATGCGGGGCGTTTCCCGCACACGGAGGGTGTGTTTTGTGTGTGATGCCCACAGGGGCAGATGCCGTCACACCCTGGTGATAAAAAAAAAAAAAAAGGAGGGGCCCCGTGAATGTATGCGGCATATCCTTTGTTTTCATCGGGGTGTGTTATCTTGTGTATCCCGGGTGATAAATCGATGGTTTGTCAGAAACGCCCAAAATTATCACCGGGGTGTCGTATTCTGTGGGGGG